GCGGCCGACCGGGCGCTCCCCTCCTCCGCCAGCTCCCGCGGCCACAGGCTGAGCTCGGCACCATCTGCCGGGCCCGGGGGGGACGGGGCTCCCCGGGGGGCACAGCGTTCTTTACCCTCGAAAGGGGGAACCAAGATGTGGTCGCAGACTCATCCGTCCACAGAGCCGAACATCAGCACCACGATGGGCCTCTCCTTGGAGAGCCACATTTTTTTAAACTAAAATTTCTCCTAACGCCACGTCCTCAATACAGACTGGCCCGGGCCGCAGTGTTTTGTGGAAGAGCCGCCTTCCAGGGGCCAGAGAGCCGCAGGTGGCTCGAGAGCCGGGGTGTGCCGACCACAGCCGAGGGGAATGCCAGTTCTCGCCGCTCCCTCAACCGCATCAGAGTGACAACTGAACCACAGAACCAGCAGCGTCCGCAGCCGCCTGGGCTGGGCTCAGAGGAAGTCCTACAGCCGGAGACGCAGCTGCGAAAGCCCCTGGGGACGGACGGGGGCGGGGCGGGGCTCCGAAGGGCTGTCCGACACCCACGGGTGCCGAGTTTTTATTTTAAATACCAGGGACCCGGTGCACGAGATTTGTGCACGTTAAAAGGGGTTCATCGGAGGAAATAATTTAATGTTGCCATTCGCCCTTTATAACAGAAGTGTCAGAGGTGAAAGGAAATGAATAAAATGCATAGGAAAACCTTCCTCCTGTCGGAGTCGGGGGCTCACCACGGGACCCAGAGTCAAGTCCCCGCCCACCCACACGCACCTCAAAATTGAATGAGACCCAGACCTGGCCACGCCCCCTCCCCCAATTGGGCTATTGGGCTAGATCCAGACCCGGCCAGTCCTACCCTCGGCAAGCCCTGCAGGGTGGGGGGCGTGGCCTCAGGTGCCCTGGCCCAGCGCCAGGATGGGGGGCGTGGCCTGAGGTCCCGTCAAGCCCCCTGGGGCGGGGGAGGGCGTCGTCTCAGGTCCCTGCTGATGGCTCCTTAAGGCTCCTCATGGGAACTTGGCCTCAGCTGTGGGTGCAGCCGTCTCTGTGATGGGTGATGGTCAATTAGCCTGTTCCCTCTGTATTAGGAGGATTTTCATTGATGTCAGAGAGGAGAGGAGGAGAGGAGGAGAGAGAAACATCCATAAGGAGGGAGAATCATAGGCCAGCTGTCTCCTGCACGCCCCCCACTGGGATCGAGCCTGCAGCCCGGGCCTGTGGCTTTTGACCAGATTCCTACCTGGGACCCTTCAGCCCGCAGGCCAACGTCTATCCACTGAGCCACACCAGCCAGGGCCCAACAAGCCTCCCACTGTCCCTGGCAGAAGGGAAAAACAAAGATAAAAATGGCCAAAACATCCACACGTCCCGGTCGCAGCAAACCGAGCTGCGTTAAAATAAAAAGCAGGATGGCCCCATCGAGCGCAGACCGACGGTCTCGGCTCCATCGCCCGGACGCCGGCGCCAGCGGCCCGTCGTCCCCGGAATGAGGCCGCGGAGGCTCCCTCCTGCGGACGCAGAGGCCCCGCTGCCGGAGCGGAGCCCCGCGGCGCCCTCGGCCAAGGTCACGGCGAGGACACCCCGAGCCATGAGCCTCGGGGGGGGGGGGCGGTCCTCCATTGCCAGGCCCAGCCCGGCTGACCACAGGGCTCCCCGACACCTGCCCCTCCCCTGCCGCGCCCGCTGCCCCGGGCCTCCTGCTGGGAGCTGCCGCCAGGCCCTCCTGGGCCAGCAGGTGGCGCTGCTGCCGCCGGGGCCCTCCCTCCAGGCGCCAGGGCTGGCCTGGATTCCTTGAGTGATTTTATTTTTCCTGAGTCCTCACCCAAGGACAGTTTCCCACTGGTTTTCTTAGAAGCGAGTGGAACCGAGGGGGATGGACACAGAGAAACAGGGATGGGAGGGAGACACATCCATGGTTGCCTCCTGCAGGCACCCTGCCTGGGATACACCCTGACGGGGCATCCGGCCTCAACGGAGGGACATGCCCTTGACTGCAATCAAACCTGCGACCCTTCGGTCTGCGGGCGGGCGCTCTACCCACTGAGCCACACTGGCCTGGCTGGGCTGCATTGTCATCCTTCACCTCCCAGCCCTGTGGGGCCCCTCAGGCCCCTCCAGGGGGCTCCACCACGCGCCTCCCCCCCATACACACACACACACACACACACACACACACGAGGCATCCGATCATCTTCTGTTGAGGAAAACGTCGGGTTAATTACGCTTAAATTAATTACAGCTCTTGGCCTCCGCTGTGGAGGACAGACCGCAGAGGGCAGAGCCCAGCAGGACGGATCCGAGGCGCCCGCAGAGGTGACGCCGGCCGTTTAATAAAACCTCACAGTGCTTGCGGGCTGCTTTCAAAATTGGAAAAATCATTTAAAAGTCATATTTCCAGCCGCTTCCTGTCCAGACGGGACGCGGCCGGGAGTAAGCCACGGCCCCTCACAGCCGGCGGCGGCCTCTGCCGGTCTCCGGGACCAGGCCGGGCGTCCCTCCCCCGCGGTTTCCCGGCCCCGTCCGCGTTCCGGGGCACTAACTGGACCTGCGTCCTGTGTGTCTGTGTCATTACATTTTTTAAAAATTTAACCGCAGGAAAGTCGATGAGAAAAGTCTGTATCCGTGTAATAACCGAGACCATGGTCTCCGGAGGCGCCGGCAGGGGCCTGAGCCTGACCTTGTGACCTCCCCGCCGTGACCTTGTGAAGGACGCTCCCAGCCCGCGGCCCCGTCTGTCACGTGGGGCCGGCGTCGCAGACAGCCGTGTCTGAGGGAGGAGGACTCCCTCCCCCTGTCCTCGGGGGTCGGGTCTCCAAACTGAGCAGCTCGGCGGGTCCGGGGGACCCTGAGGTCCCTGCCCGAGGCCAGCCGCGGGCGGTTTCCGTGTAACTCAGGGCAGAAATGAAACATCCCGGCCGGTGTGGCTCAGTGGATAGGGCGCCGGACTGTGGACTGAAGGGTCCCTGGTATGAACTGGTTGGGGCACAGGGGCAGGTTGCGGGCTCCATCCCCAGGAGGGGGCGTGCAGGAGGCAGCCGATCAAAACTTCTTTAAAACGCCGGGGACGCGGGACAAATTGTTAAAAATCGGGACTGTCCGGCCAAAAGCGGGATGTCTGGTCACCTGAGTCTAACGGTCCTGTAAGGAAGGCCGCCCGGCTCTGTGAACACCCCGCCCCCATCGCCCGGAGCACACCCCATGGGCCAGCATTACGCACGTGAGCGGCATCCCCACAACCCGAGCTTCACCCAAAACAGCACCGTCCGACCTTCTGCCCCAACCCTCCCCCCCCCCCGCCCCCCGCGCGACCGCTGAGCCCGGACCCTCCGAGCAGCAGGAGCGCACACAGCACGAACCGCAGAAACCTTTCCCGGGGCCGAGGGTCACCGGGCGGCCGCTCCAGGTCCAGGACTTTCTTCCGGGGAGACGGCAGCTCCAGGGCCCGGGCGCAGGTCGGCCGGTCGGCCGGTCGGCAGGTCGGACAGGCGCCGGGCCGGTCAGAACTGCGCTGGGGGGCCTGTGAAATCACGGATCTACGGAGATGGAGCCGCTTGGAGACGCGGCTGTTAAAACGGAAACCGCTGTGCAGGGCGCAAAGCTACGTTGTATCCCGGGAGCATCCGCTCGGTAACAAGGTAACGGGACGCGGACGCTGTAACCAAGGAAACCGGGACGCGGACAGGGTAACCACCCGCCGGCGCTCTCGGAAGGAACCGCCGGAAACACTGTTTGGCGTCGCTGATACCGTGTTACCTTCGAACCCTCGGCCATGCCTCCTTCCCGGATGTATCCTTCCCCCCCTTTCCCCTCCAAGCCATCACCTGCCTCTCTTCCCTGAAACACGAAGGGGTTCTGCCCGCATCAGGGCTTCCCCAACAGCTGTTCTTATCCTTTTTCTTAAAAAAAATAAATAAATAAAAAATAAAAAATCTCACAGTCTTGGCCGGTGTGGCTTGGTGAACAGAGCGTCGGCCTGCGGCGCAAAGGGTCCCGGGTTCGGTTCCGGTCAAGGGCGGGACCTCAGTTGCAGGCACATCCCCAGTATGGGGCGTGCAGGAGGCAGCTGATGGATGTTTCTCTCTCATCGATGTTTCTAACTCTCTATCCCTCTCCTTTCCTCTCTGGAAAAAATCAATAAAATATATATTTTAAAAAATATAGTGGATTGGCAACCTACCAGGTGTACTGCTTACTAATATGGATTTTCCCAGTACGTGGAGTCACACACATGCTGATATCCATGCGATGTGATGTGTGTGCTGTGTTGCTGTCTCGCTCCTTCAGAGGACCCGTGTTCCCATCGACGGCACACGCCTGTCTGAGCGGCACTTCCACACGGACGCAGACGTGGACAGTGGGGTCTCTGCATGGTCTGCCCCGAACAAGGACAGTTCTATTGGGACGGTGCCCACCAGGGACCTGGAAGATGGGGGATGTGTGGCTGGTGATGGACATCGCTTTGGATAAAGCACTTTTGATGTTTCTCTTGAGATTACCGCGTTTTCTTTGATGGCAAGGTCCCGAACTTTTCAGCGGAATGCGGATTAAGAGAAAACGTGTTAAACAAGCACGCGCGCAGTTTCCATTTCTCAAGTTCTCGGGGGCTCCTGGTGCAGCCGCCCCCCGGGAGGGCCTGGCCCGCACCCACAGGGGGAGGGGGGCGGAATGACCGGAGCTGCCTCTGGGCGGGCCCTGGCGTAGACCTCGCTCTTTTCTCAGAAACATCCACAGATGGCTCTTTTCGTCTCTTTTTATTTGCCTTTTTGCATTTTTTTAAACAAATCATTTTTGGTAGCTTGACTGTGTTGTCCGTGGGACTCATGGCACACGCGCCCCCAGAGTTCCTCCCGCGGCTTTGGCGCGGGCCCCGCCCCCCGCGGCTACAAACCCGGTTACAGAACCAAAGCCCCTTCCCCGCGTCCAATGGGCCATAGCGCGCCCCTGGCTACCCCTCCCTCCCCCGCCCTGCGCGCCCCTGGCCACTCCCCGGCCCCCCCACCAGCACCCAGGCGGCCTCCGGGGACGAGGTGCGGGCCGGGCCCGGGCCCTTGGCCAGAGGGTCCTACACGGCGTCCCGGAACGGGTCCAGGTGGGTCCTCAGCTCGCGGGGGGCGCCCAGGCCCCTGTCCGGGCACACCCACGGGGCGTCCTCGGGGCCGCTGGGGGCGGAGGGGGAGGCGGTCTCGGGGGAAACGCCGGGGAAGCTGGCGAACTGGACCTTCCTCCGCCCGGAGCTGGGCGAGGGCGGGGGCTCCGGCCGGGGGTCCGGGCCCGGCCTGCCCCCCTGGGGGGCAGCGGCGCGGGGCGCCTGGCCCTGGGCCCGCCTCGGGGAGCCGCCCCCGGTCCGCAGGAGGCGGCTGGGGTCCTCGCCGCGCGGGGGCCCCTGGGGGGCCGGTAAGGGCGGAGCTGGTGGCAGGGGCACAGGAGGGGACCCCCGGCCGGCGCCATCCAGCAGCTCCGCCGCGCGGCCCAGCCACACCCAGTCGTGGGAGTGGGTTCCCCCGGCGGTTCCCCCGGAGGAGGCGGCGCCTTCGGGGGGCAGCTGCTTGTGCCGCCGGAACCGGAGCGCGAAGGCGGCGCAGTTGGCCAGGAAGACCAGGATGGCCAGGCAGAAGGCTGCCAGCAGCGCGTACATGCCGATCTCCAGGTCGCTGAGGCCGCGGGGCCCCCCGGGGGCCGGGCCGCCGCCCGCCGCCCCCGCCCCGGCCGCCACCGGCGCCTCCTGCGCGGGGAAGCGGCTCGGGTCCAGGGGGATGCGGTGCGCCTGCCCCGAGGCGGGCGGCCGCGCCCCATCCGTCCGGCTGCTCCTCGCCGCCTGGGGGTGCAGCCGCGGCCCGGCCGTGGGGCCGCCCCGGCGCGCCGCGCCCTCCTCTCGCGCCTCCGGGCCCCCGCGCTCCGCCGCCTCCGCGCCCTGGGGCCGCCGGCCGCTGGCGCGGTTCCCGGTCTCGCCCTCCGCGTCCTCCTCCGCGTCCTTCGGGCCGAACCGGACCCTGACGCCGCCCACGCCGCTGGCCAGGACGCTGCGGCGCCGGGACTTCTGGCAGGTGCCCGCGATGCTGAGGTCCACGCGCACCAGCGGGCCCTGGCCCTCCCCCGCGGCCGCCACCGCCGGCCACCCCGGGGCGCGGGCCGGGGGCGCGGACACCACGGCCTCGTCCAGGGAGGCGGCGCTCAGAGCGAAGTCCCGGCGGTCGTACACGTCCAGCGGCGACACCGAGCCGTCGCTGAACCGCAGCCACGTGCTGACCACGGCTTCCTGCGGGGGGTGGGGGGGGAGAGGGGCAGGCAGGAGGGGAGATGACAGCCCGTTAGGCGACTGGGAGGGGGCGGTCTCCGCTCTTAGACACCCACCCCCTCTTACAGCCCCTCCAGTTCCAGAACACAGCACTAAGGGGTCACCCCAAGATGTGCCTCTGTGGGATGCAGACTGTTTTGAGCTAAAGGCAACTTTTGAAACAAAAATTATTGATGTCAGAGAGGAAGGGGGAGGGAGAGAGAAACATCCGTGATGAGAGAGAATCATGGACCGGCGGCCTCCTGCACGCCCCCCACTGGGGATGGAGCCCGCACCCCAGGCCTGTGCCCTGACCGGGAATCGAACCCTGACCTCCTGGCTCCTAGGTGGACGCTCAGCCCCTGAGCCACAGCAGCTGGGGGAGCTGAAGGCAGTTTCAGCTTCAGGCTCAAGAGAAACTCCTGACCCCCTTTGCTGACCCCGAAGGGCTTGGCTGAGGGGCCTGGCCCATAGGAGAAGGTCAGCGATGGCCTTAACCTACCAACACCTGCTCCTCCGGTCACCCCGCAAACAGACACCCTAAAACAGAACCCAGAGGCCCGCCTGCCTGGCTCAGGGGCCGAGCGTGGACCTAGGAACCAGGAGGTCAGGGTTTGATTCCCGGTCCGGGCACAGGCCCGGGTTGCAGGCTCAATCCCCACCAGCAGGGGGCGTGCAGGAGGCAGCCGGTCCATGATCCTCTGCCCTCATTGATGTTTCTCTCTTCCTTCCTCTCTGGCATCAATAGAAATATATTTAGAATAAATAAAATAAATAAAACAGGCAGATGGGGTCGCTGTGGCCCACGTCCACCCCAAGTCCCCGTGGGTGAGACGGTGCCTTTGCCTGCGGGGCCTCGGCCTGCATTCTAGAAGGGGGTTCTGAGACCCCCCCCTGCCCCCACCCGCCCCCCTCCCCCCGCCTCCCGGCCTCCCACCTGCTTGGGGGCCCGCAGCAGCTCGTCCGCCTGGGCCACGGCGGTGACCACCTGGGGGTTCTCCGGGCTGGGGTGCAGGCTAACCGACAGCCCGGCCACCAGCTGGACGGCCAGGTCCGTCAGCGACACTCTGTCCTCGGACACGGTCACCGTCTTCTCGCCCAGGATGGAGTCGGACAGAGGGGACAGAACCTGGAGGGGCGGGGGAAGGGCAGGACACAAGACAGATCCATCGCCCTGGCCGGTGTGGCTCAGTGGGTAGAGCGGCAGCCCGTGGACTGAAGGGTCCTGGGTTCGATTCCGGTCAGGGACATGTACCCTGGTTGCGGGCACATCCCCAGTGGGTGGGTGTGCAGGAGGCAGCTGGTCGATGTTTCTCTCTCATGGATGTTTCTAGCTCTCTAACCCACTCCCTTCCTCTCGGTAAAAATCAATAAGATATATTTTTAAAAACCCCGTTCTGGCCCAGCCGGCATGGCTCGGCGGTGGAGCATTGACCTGGGAACTGGGAGGCCATGGTTAGAGTCCTGATCAGGGCACCAGCCGAGGGATAGTTCTCATCCTGGATGTTCCTCTCCCTCTCCTTCTCCCTTCCTCTCCGGAGTCAATAGAAATATGTATGTTTTTAAACAAAATAAAAAGGGAGAGTGGGTAAGGTGGGAGTTGAGAGCAAAGAGCCCCCTGGCTCTGTCCTCTGTCCTGGGACCCCAGTGTGTGAACCCCTGGGGGTCAGGGGCCGCGGGACGCTGAGGGAGCCTGTGGGGTGAGTGGACAGCAGGACAGACAGACTCAGGGGCGCAGTGGGGGTGTCGGGGTGGGGCGGGGTCCGGAGAGGGAGGGGTGGGAATGAAGCTGCCGGTCCCCCCAGGGGGACAAGCATTGGCCACGGGGCCCCGCCCGCCTCGTCGGCACCCCCACCCAGGGCCCCCCACGCCCAGGGGCGGGCGGCCGCCTACCTGGATGGCGGTCATCCCGGGCTCCCGCCCGACCAGCACCCGGCCGTCCAGCAGCGAGGCCACGCGCGGCACCTCCACCTTCACGGAGGCGGCCACCAGGG